TATGTATGTATGAACAGACAGGGTGAGTTTATACATTATGAGTTATATTCATATACCCTATGATAAAAAAACGGCATTCAGTAGGCTGGGATCGATGATATTTTCCATATAATTTTACATATAAAATGACAGCGATCTTCATTTCATAGCTATCGTTGACGCCGTTTTTTTTTCGACAATACGATACAGAGTGTAAATGAATATGTGCATAAAATTTCAGAAGATAATTGATTTTTTGATACAGATATACAGGGTGATTTACGGCGATGTTTATGTAGAGTCGAGGATAGGATTAAATTATTATTAGCGTCAGTGTTGTTGCTTCATTTGAAAATTAGTAGAATCTTTGTTATTTTAACAGTTTTGCCGTTATGGAATATAATTTTATGTCCTTTATTTTTTCTATGATATTATCCTCCGCCTACCTCTAATAATTTTCGAGATAAAAAATTTATAAAATTGGTAATTAATTGATAAAATTATGAATTCTTTAGTTTTTTTGTATTTATTAAGTGCGAATCATAATAATAAACATTGCAGTTACTTTTATTTACAGATTTTTCTGACTATATTATCTTAAAGTAAGAATAATTTAAGAAATCTATGGCCAAAAGGAAATATAAACAAGCAATTTTTACGATTATATATACAGTTTTAAAACAGTACAATTGCATACGTCATAATAACCCAGGAATTTCCTTGGTGGCGTTTCTCTTATTAAGCTGTTTAATCCTGAGGAGGTGAGAGCGATGAAAACAAGTTGACAATGTTGTGCTCCCGGCGGTTTTCTTAATGACAATTAGCAGACATCGTCTCGCTTCCGTTCTGCTTCGGGGAAATTTACCAAAGAAAGACATTTCGGGTCGAGGAAAGCTCAGTAATGCGGGGAAATAATGTCAAACAGATTGCCTCTGAGATATGTTTTAGTTTTTAATTGCTTTGATCAAAGAAATTACGTATGATGATGGTATGAAAACCTGTGAAAATGTTTATAAGGTGCGAATCATGATAATATACATTATTCAATTCAGATATTTGTATTTTCCGGACTCTTCTGACTATTTTCTTTTAAAGAAAGAATAATTCAATAAAACTGTATCCAAAAGGAAAACAAATTTCACGATTATAGATACAATTTTTAAACAGTACAATTGCATACGTTATAATAACCTAGGAATTTTGTTGGCGATGTTTTTCTTATTAAGCTGTTTAATTCTGAGGAGGTGAGAGCGGTGGAAACTTCTTGATAACGTTGTGCCCACGGCGGTTTTCTTAATGACAATTAGTAGACATCGTCTCCCTTCCATTCTGCCTCGGAGAAATTTACCGAGTAAAGACATTTTGGGTCGAGGAAGGCTCAGTAATGCGGGGAAATAATGTCAAGCAGATTCCCTCGAAGATATGTTTTAGTTTTTATTTGCTATGAACAAATAAATTACCTTTGATAGTAGTATGAAAACCTGTGAAAATGATTATAAAGTGCGAATCATAATAATATACGTTATGCAGTTCAGATATTTGAGTTTTCCGGACTTTTCTGACTATTTTCTTTTAAAGAAAGAATAATTCAATAAAACTGTATCCAAAAGGAGACACAAACAAACAAATTTCACGATTATAGGTACAATTTTCAAACAATACAATTGCATAGGTTACAATAACCCCGTGAATTTCCTTGTTGGTTTTTCTCTTATTAAGCTGTTTAATCCTGAGGAGGTGAAAGCGATGAAAACAACTTGACAATGTTTTGCTCCCGGCGGTTTTCTTAACGACAATTAGCAGACATCGTCTCGTTTCCGTTCTGCTTCGGGGAAATTTACCGAAGGAAGACATTTCGGGTTGAGGAAAGCTCAGTAATGCGATGAAATAATGTCAAGCGGATTGCCTCTGGGATATGTTTCGAATTTTATTCGCCTATGACGATGGTCTGGAATGGTATACCTGTTAAAATATTTATAAGGTGCGAATCATAATAATACATATTATGCATTTCAGATAGTTTTTCGAATTCTTCTGACTATCTTCTCGGCCTTTTTAAATGGTTTTGTGTAAAGTTTGTATAGTTATAATTACTAAATAAAAAACAAATTTCTTCCAGTATAAGTATATAATAAAATTATATAAGAATTTCTTGCCACATAACTGCTGATATAGAAATTTAATTCCACGCTGTGTTTGTCATAATGTGGATCAACCTGCTCTCACTACCGGTTTCGGACCCCTACTCAATTATCAGGTGAGCTTGGGCAGATACCACAAAATGACCGTTCGGGACTTAATATCTAACCGATACTTTCCGACAAGTCGGAATTAACTACTCTGCACTATAGTTGTCATTTTTTTGTAATTACTTACATTTGTTAAAATAACATTGAAGCTCTCTCTTAACTGTTTCATATTTGAAAGAAACATCAGAAAAGATTACGCGAATAGAGAGACACTATAATATTAAACCTGTTTTTAAGTACTCTAAGAAGCGTTATAACAAAAACAAGAGCGGAAACATGGAAAAGTGAATCTACTAGGAACTTGTTAGATAATTGCATTCTATAGGGGTAGACATTGATTTAGTATTGATACCGACAGAATTTTGATCTTCCATTATACATCTAACCCAATCGTTGTGTAAGTAAAAAAAAATAAAGACAATGATAGTTCGAAATTCTTTTGGTATCAATTTATGCTAATTCAAGTACTGACAATATGTTTTCCAAATTTGTACACGTACAGTGTGCGTAAAAGCAATTTTAAAGATAAACAATAAGTATCATATAATTAATTTAGAAATGCCCAAAAGAACAAAAATTAATCTCTATAGCAAGTGTATTAAGTGAATCGTCAATTAAAACTCTGCAATATAATAAAAATTAAATACAACCTGGTTTTCACACCACATTCGTCTCTTTGCTAATTATTAGCGCTCGTACGACTGCAAGACAGAGGATGACTGTAATTACGTCTTTGTTACGAGAACGGCCGTTAAATGATGCAAGCTGAGGTTCATGCGGTTGCCTAAGTTACCATCAGCCACCTCTCGCCTATGCAGATATGCAAAACAGTAGCGCTACATAATAAATTTTCTAATTATACGGCTGCAGTGTCATTTCGCCAGTATGCTTTCTTCGTTTAAATCGTTGGTTTTGATTAAATGACGTTCTTATGAGATTTACTTGGTTTAACAAGCATGTATTTTTATGAAGGACTAATTATATTAAATTATATCTAGAATGAATTTTCTGGTTCAACGAGTCAGTGAGATTTCGTCAGACGATATCCAACAAATGATAGGAAATACAATTTACCTGTGAATTAAAATATCACACACAACTACCACTGTAATATATCCTCTTTTGGACAGACTATATGCTTTTTTCGTACTGTTCTTCCATTGCGCATAAATAGCACTACAAACTAAACTTAAAAAAAATTATGCGCTCGCCAGAAAAGAAGAGACTTAAATTAAATATTCCTGTATGTTGTATCTCGATCATATAGTTAATATATTATCTAAGGTACATTTGATGTTATATACTGTTCCGTTTATTCTTTCAGTAGTTTCATGTCAGTACACTTCTTTTTATATAATCATTATAAAATGGTTTTGCTGATAATAGAGATATTACTTGATTTAACCCTCGTTCTGTTTGTGAAGATGCTGAAACCACGCCAATAACGTCGCTAAATTTTGGAAAAGGTTATATTAATAAAAAGGTTATACAATATTTTCAGCATTACAGTGTTGTCGCATCATTTGAAAAGTGGTAGCATCTTTTTTATTTTAAATAGAACACCCAGTATATTATTACATATTTGGTAATTAATTTCATCTAATAATTTTTCTATTATACTAACCTATACCAACTCTAATAGTTTTTGAGAATTTGAGATAAAAAAATAAAACATGTTTAAAATTGACAAAAACATAATCGTGAATAAGCATTGGTAAAATCATGAATTAAACATTTTTAAAGTTGACATTTCGGTTATAAGTTAGCAAAAGTCAATATATTCGATCTCTCTAAATAAACCGATTGGATATTACACAAGGAGAGCAAAAATATGATTTATTTCCATTTGTTATAAAATTTCTCAAATCTTTGTTATTTTAAATTCAATCCTACGTATATTATTTAAAAAATCAAAAGACTAATATTATTGCTTTTCAACCATATATCATGTTCCTATACCTAAACCTTCCGGTTTATGAAGTAGAGCTATAGTTTCATTTCAAGAATTTCGTTACCATGACAATTTTAAAAATTTAGCACGTAAACTCTAATTGATTAAATTTGTCATGGTAACGATTTTCTTTAACGAAACAATTATAATAGAATTATTTATTATCTTTTATATGGCTTTACTGGAGAAACCAGAAGGTTTAAGTATAGGAACTTGACATATCGTTGAAAAGCAATTTTATTTGTATTTAGATTTTTTTAAATAATATGCATAGGCTTGAATTTAAAATAACAATGATTTGGTCGTGAATCACCCCACTAGTCTATCTTCTATATGTATATGTTAATGCTACTGCCTATCTCTTCTATGTCTTATAGATACTCCCATAGTGTGGTAAACATAAAAAAAATATATTTTTATTATATTTTAAAATGGATAGAACTAAATGTTAACTGATTTTATATATCCATTTAAATAACCATTTTACGTCATGTTTATTTATATTTTTGGAACATATGTGATCCACCGTTATAAATAAGGTTTATTTTGAAATCGATATAACTCAATACTGATTTATATATCCATTTAAATAGTAATTTTAGAAAATGTTTGTTCATAACTCCAGAACCTATGATTTAGCTTTATTTATTTACGAACTCATACATGAGTATGAGTTCGTAAAGAACGTGTAATGAACGTATGAGTTCGTGAAGAGTTTGCTATTATGAAATAGCAAAATACTTATTTTTCTCACTATAGGTATCTCGTTTCAGAAACACTAAAATGCAGTATGAAGTCTAAATTTTAAACTTTTTTTTCAGGATAACAAATCAACAAACGCTTTGGATGATGAGAACGATGAAACTGCAGAGGCAGATTTTCTAGAAAATGGCAGGGACGGACTAACTGGTACTCCAGATTCGGCAAATTCTCGCAACGACAAAGAACTAGAAGATATAATGGAAGTTGAACATCAGGTACGAACTAGTAAAATCACAGTCAAAAACAAATAAAATCTGTCTAACTGTTTGTCCAACTTGAGAATACATAACAGTGACAGATTTGTTATTTTAATTTACAATTAAGGCTGTATTCCGTTTTTACCTTGGTTAATGTTTTTGTTTCCGTTTCTATGATTTGCCTCAAATTATTATTATTTCGGAACAAAGATCCTAAAAGATATTTATGTCACCAAGTTAACCAGCATAAATGACTGTTTTGTCTGTTTCGTCTATCAATTACATTTCATTCAATCTTTTTTTTAAGTAAAGCTTTCAGTTAACGTATCGTTTTTGCTGCCAGGGCTAATCTTAACGGGGCCTACTTTGTTTACGCGGAATTTGAACCGCGGCCCGCGGCCATATCATGGTCAATGGCCTACCGACTTGGCAAGTGTCTAAATCGACTCTTACTCACGAGATATCCGGCCTCGAACCGGCGTGAATGAGCAATGTGTGTCAATAGATTTTACATTTTTGCCTTTTTTCGACAACAGCACGATACAGAGTTTCGAACCGGTCACCCGTCCATCCACTAGCATCGCCTTACGTCGCTTAAATCTTTTTTTAGTTACATAAATAAACTTGAGCTGTCTGGAGAGATAAATAGCTCATTTACGTTATAGGTATAAGTATTTTTCAACATTAAATTTCATTGAAAAGATAAATCCAACTTGAAATAAAAGTTCTATAATAAGAATATTGAAATTTAATTATTATTTGTCATTTTTGTTATTATTTCAAACTGTTTTTTGTTAGCCGTATTTTATCTATATTTTTGGGATTGAAAGTAATGAGAAAGCAAATGATCTACCTAGAAAAGGAGCGAACACTCCACTAATTGAACCAAAACCGGTCTGCTTTCCAAGTGGAAATCAACAAAACGGAACTCAAGAACTTGGAAGACTCCATCCGTAACCTGGAATGGGAATCCTGCAACCGTCTTCAAGACACTCGAGGAAATTTCTCAGAACTGACGACCGAGAAAAATCGAAGATTTTTCTTGATTTAAGTAAGAAGAATCTTCGGCTGGTCACGTGGTTTTTAAAAGGACACTGTCTCCGCTATGAACACCTCAGTAGATTGAAGCTAAGAAAAAACAGCGAATGCGGATTCTGTGGAGAAAATGGGGAAATACTCGGAAACACTCCGTGCGCCGAGACGATGTGCCATAAACTTTGGCACGACTGATATGGGAGATGGAGAACTACCCTCTATAAAATTGTCTCAGTCTCACTTGTTTTTTGGTAAAGCCTGTATATTTGGTAAAAACTGTATAGGTGCAGTAGTTATAACTTGGCTATAACTCAAGAAAGGGGATACATATATCTGTAAGATTGCAGTGATTAACCCCCACCCCACTCATTCTACATGCTACCGATATTTTTTAAGAAGTGGCTATTACCGTAGATAATCAACCTGGTTATTCAACAGAATACAGCTTAAATTGCACAATTTTTTTTCTGGTTAACTTTTAAAGTTTTAATTGTTAAAAAAAATGTGTAGAAGAGAATATCAAAAAATAGTACACAGAATTAAATATTGAATAGAATATTGTTTATTTTCTAGGCCGCTGCAGCTAAAACTATAATGCACGCCCTCAGCATTGTCAGCACCCCCGCATCCCAGCCCGGTTCTTCACCGCCGCCACTGGCCGCAGTGGCGCCACACACGGAAAACGGCGACTCTTGGAAACCACAAACCAGCCTTAGTCCGAAAATACAACGGGAGACGTATTAAATTTATTGAATTAGTAAGCTTTTTTGATTTCTATTTACGTCATTGAATTTTTCTGGCTAGTGTATTAGTAAAATAGATATTTTAATTTAATTATTTAAAGGTGTGTATTTATTTCTTACATTATATATAAAAAGTATAATAGAAACATCAAAATTCAGTGCCAAATAAAAGAATAATATAATTATTAGTAAAAACTACATTTTTTACGTTTGAGACAATATGGCATATGGTACTAAAATATTTATATAAATATAATGATACAATGAATGAAGTGAATATACACCTTAGTTAAGCAACAGGATGTCTGGAATTGTGTACACCAAATTATATATGAACATATATACAAAATATATCATATAACACGAGAATATGATCTGTAGTACTTGATTATCATAAAACTTAGTTAAAAGGCTAGATCAAAACTAGTTTATCTATTATTTTCTAACATTTTTTTTAAGAATTTAGCTGTAAGTATTCCTGAAAGATTATGTTATTTAGTATTTGCAATATTTTGTTGTAAATTCTGAATTAGATACATTTTGCGGCCCCATATTAGGTGCCAAATGGATAGCCAGAAGAACTACTGTTGAAGTTTATCGATATAGAATTTGGAAGAAAGGCAAAATATAACGGAATTATTATAACATATGCGACCTATGTTGCTATAACAGGGTTTTGTTTGTACATTACCCGATTTTTGTATGTTTTACTGGTTTCTCTTTTATGAGTAGGTACAAAGACACGGTTTTAACATTACTATGCTACTTTCTTATGAAACTAAAACTGCTGCATACCAGTGGCGGCTCGTCAGGGTAGGCAAGATAGGCGGCACCTACCCTACAGTTTTGTCAGAATTTAAGCGGTTTACATTATTTACTATTAATATTGCCAGTACACAAAAATACTGTTAATACACGGTAGGGTGTTGTAATAATCAATATTAACTTAATATTTGTGGTCTTCTATATTAAAATAATCACGACTACCGTTGGCGTACCAAAACAAAATAATTTTGACCGTATGCATATTGCACACGCCCTTGTTCGACGATTTCTCTATATCGCCTGTTACCCGAGTCGATGCACGACGTACGGCAGTCTTCTGTATGTTTCTGTCCCTGTCTAGCTCATCGAGCGGTAACAACGCGACGTAAGTCTGAGTTGTATCGTATTAAGGCGGAGCTTAGGCGAAATCTCCAGTCGCCTTTGCACTTTGCATAAAGTCGCGGGAGCTCGGTAGGCTTAGAAGTTAAAAGGATATTTCGTCCCGATATTTTATGTGATTCATTATACGTAGTATTTAAAACTTTTATATGGAGATTCAAAAAACATTTACAGCAGATTAGAAACATTTTTTGGGCTTGTTCAAGACTATTCAAAATGATATAACCGGTTGTATTTCAGAACACGCCACAGAACTAATAGAATCCGAAATAAAAAGCGCGTTGTGTTATTCCGTCCAAGCAGACCAATCAGACCATACAGAAAAGTCTCAGCGTGCTACTTCAATTCGATATGTTAATAAAATGGGGGAAGTCAAAAAACTTCTTTGCGAATTTTATTTTATTTTATGAAATATTAAATAACATTGTTATACATTTAGAAATAAAGTTTGCATATATGTCTCAATTATTTCTATTTATCTATTGCTAATTCACAGAAATTTAAAGAATCCTATAAAAAATTTCCAAAGCATTTAATATCTGATTTAACAAACTTTTACCACAATGTTTTTGACCAACATATATTAATGAATAAATACAGGTATTAATAATAGATATGATAATTTTCGATTATAAAATAATTTAAGGAGAATGATCCTGGAAATACATTTTCAGAGAATTGAAAATGGTTTGTTTTGATTGTTACTACACCATTTACAAGTACTTGATTTGAGAGACATTTTTCATGTTTGAAATGCATTAAAATTTACAGTAGAAATTCCATGAAAAATAAACGTTTATCGTTTATAGTATGACTTGCCTTACTTTCATTCTAAATAGATATTTTCACTGCCCTTCACAACAAACTAATGATTCTGATATAATAATAAATAACTTTTCTTTATTAAGAGATCCACTCATCAATTTAATATAGAAAACATAATCATTCTTTCCTTTTTTTATTAGTCTCCAAATATATATGTATATGAATAAGAGAATCTGTTTTTCTTTGTAAATTTATTGTCTATATACTTACGAATTTTTAAGTTTGCGTAAATAAATAAAATAAAATAAAATCCTATGATGTACTCCATGATACTATTATCTATCTTATTTATCGAAGTACTTAAAAATGAGCATCTGAGGAGATCAAAAAACTTATATTTGTACATTATGTCAATCATTATGTCAATCATTATGTCATTACGCTGAATGCTGCTAGTTTTGCTTTAGTTTTGTCCTACATATTCTTAAGCTATGTTTTTAACCCAGAGATAACATATATTTATGAACTGGGTTACGGTATTATGTAAATTTAGGGGGGGGGGCAAATAGATGCAACTAAAAACTTGTCGCCTACCCAGTCCCACGCGTCACGAGCAGCCACTGCTGTCGAAAGCCCAGTTCCTGTCTGTGCATTGATTTGTCGATATTCTGACGTTTGTCGTGGCACTCGCATATCTTACAAACATATAAGACATATGGCATCTCATGTCTTGCGTCATATATATGTCTTATATGTTTGCGGGGTATCGATGATCGATTCTCACTTAGTGTCTCTAGAAGCTTCCACTAGTCTACCGAATCTCAGGCCGTGTCAAAATCCACGAAGACAAGCATTAGGTGTCTATTATGCATTTCTTGATAAGAACCTCTGTCAGAAGATGGTGATTTGTTCCGTAACCTTATCGGAAACAAAAAAATAAAATAAAAAAATATATTCAGGGTGTCACATTTCAAAAAAATTGAGTAATATTCAAAAATAATCCAATTGAAAACTAGTAACGCCACTGATTTCTACATAAAATACTCTACAGGACTCAGTTTTTATTTTTTTATTAGTTATAAGATAGCTATGATACGAAGGGATTCGAGAAGTGCAACTTTATCAAATTTGCCTGTTGTTTCAGAAACCAAGTGGACTAGGACAAATCTGTGTGTATCATCTTTAGTTTCATAAAAGAAAGTAGCCAATGATGTAAAAACCGAATCTTTGTATCTCTACTCATAAGCGGGAAACCCGCTTATGAGAAAAAATGTTTACTTATTCAATTTTTTTTAATGATAGCTAGAAAAACAGAATTATATAATTATTCAATTTATTATCAATCAAAGATTAGGTGAAAGCAATTCTACACATCCTCTACATATAACAATGTATGTTTTAAAACTTTTCTAAATTATTTAAAATAGGAAATAAAAAAATTAAATGCTTGTAAAAATAAACATAAATGGTATTTTAATAAGAAGAGATGGGTAAATGTAAAATTACTAATTATTGTAAATTTATAAAAAACATTATTTTTTCAGTAATTTTTTTTCATATATTATATTAATCATATTTACTTATTGAATCTTTGTTGAATAAAAAAATTGTTAAGCAATTTTTTTACTGATCTGTTTTAAATTATATGTCGGGTGTTTTTCAAAATGGCTGACTCCTATAACTTTCTATATTATTCCACATAAAAAAACGAGATTTGATACAATAGTATATGATATAAATGAGGATTGATTGGACGTATTCAATTACCTTCGTTCGCTTAAAAATTAATTTTTTCGTAAAAGATGCTTTTTCTAAATATGCTAATGACCCACCATCGTTAAACTTGAAAAAAATGAGTTATGATTAAAAATACGATTTGGAAATCTTTTAACCAGCTAGAAAAAGATACCGGTGAATCAGGAAATCACCAAGACTAATTATTGAATACATCAACCAATCCCGATTTATACAAGGTGATTCCTGTAAGTCGGTCATGCTTTCGGGGAATGATAGATGACGAAAAATTAAAGATAGTCTTTAATAGTTTTTTAACAGTTGAAGGTATCGTTATAAAATTTTATTATAGAAGTCTACCTAACACAGACACTTTAAATTATGTAAAAAGAAGAGGTTTTTCTTTCAACCAGTGGCGTAGATGTGATACGCATCGGATATTTTTTTCAAATAAAATAGTACGCCTCTGATAAAAAATAAAATTTTTAGAGTTTTTTTTATTTACTCGGTTTATTTCCAAGAAAAAAATTCTCCTTTAACTTTCTCCTATCTAACACCATTTTGCCACAATTTAATTTTTTTTTAATGAGAATCTTAAATACAGCCAATTATTATAACTAGAGGGCAGAAATACATGTTCATACAGAGAGTTACACAGCTTGGGTAACTTTAATACTTTTTACTATCTATTAGCTCTTTAAATACATTTTTAAAAAATTATAAATTTAAACTCGAAATTTTTTTAATTGTTTAATTAAATTCTTAGTTTTAAGGTAGTTATAATAATTCGGATATGTAATGTTCTTATTAAAAAAATTATTTATTTTTAAACTGTGACAAAATGGTGTTTCTTTTCGGAAATAAACCGGGTAAATAAAAAAACTCCCAAATTTTTATTTTTATCAGTGGCGTAATATTCTTTTTTTTAAATTACCTGATGCTTATCACATCTACGCCACTGGTTGAAACTAAAACCTCTTGTTTTTACATTTGAAGTGTCTCTTTTAGGTAGACTCCTATAATAAAATTTTATAACGATACCTTCAACTGTTAAAAAACTATTAAAGAATATCTTTAATTTTTCTAAAACTTTAACACCCTGTATCTAGCGTAAGAGGCATTTCCGACCCATAGTGTGCTATATCAAAATTAATATTTTGACGTCCCCCATCATTCCCCGAAAGCATGACCTACTTACAGGAATCACCCTGTATATCATATACTAACATACTAAGTTTCTTTATTTAATCCGAAAAAAAAAACAGATTATAGAAGTAAGTCACTTTTGAGAAAAACCTGGTATTATAAAAGTACCCATCTAAAGTATTTTTAAATATTTTAAAAATATTAGTTTTGTAAAAATAAATATACGTTTACTTTTTTATAAAAAAAAAGTTTTTATAAATTTTAAATGTTAAAAGGTTCCTTTTTACCAAACTGTGTTTATAAATGTTTGCAACAAAATTCTATAACTAGATTAATATTTAATATCGTATTCTAGACCAAAGCGTATGCATATCCGATATTAAAACATTTCCAGGATGAATTTTATATTAATTAAAGTTATAAATTTAAAACAAGATAAAATTTGAAGCGCCTACTACACCAAATATATATGTACATTTATACAAACCTACAACAAAATTTATATCGGAAAATTGTTTAATAGATGAACCAATTT